CCCCCCCCCCCATTTCCTCCATGGGACCCCGGGTGGCAACCCAGTAGGAATTTTCCTCAAGATCGTTCAGGGCTGAGAGAGAAGCCTCTCTGCCCCTTTGGTACCCCTTACCTTGGCTGTGATTCTCCTGAATTTGTTTTATTTCAAGACCAATGATTGTGTGTCTACTCCCACCTACTCTCACCCTGTGGAGGGACCATCCAACAGAGGAGGCCGACTTTGAGGAGAACCAGGGGGAGGTCCCCTCTTCAGCTTAGTTGGCAGGCAATCAAGAGTGCTGCCTTGGAGATGTTGGGTACCTCCTGGCTGGGGGAGGGGAGTCACGGCCATCCTGCCTGGGTGTTCCACCAACTTGCTACTCCCTTCTGAAGCCTCGATGGGACGTATCTCAGGGCTCAGCACAACTGGAACCCTGAACAAGTCCAGTTCTCTGCACTGACACAGCGGTGTTGTGTTCTGCACAGGAATCTGAGGCAAGGGGAGGGGGAGGGGGAAGGTGTGCCGGAGGGTGAGTGGGTTAGGAGCAGGGAGGAAGTAGTGGGAAGAGGGAGCAGAGATGATACAGCAGACTTAGGGGGAGAGAAGTCATCAAGAGAGGTGGCCCGCATGAGGAGGGAAGGAGGAGTAAGGAACCCAGGGAGGGTGGATGTGACAGAGCCATGAGAAGGTGGGAAGCCCGAGAAAGGAGACAGACAGTGGAATGTACTGCAAAGAGTAGGAGTTTGGGAGCCAAATGGATACTGTGCCTCTTCCTGGGTGTGTGACCTTCAGACTGAAGCTTCTTTAGGACGTTTTGTTTGTGAAATGGGGATAATAATCGTCCCTAACTCACAGGGTTATTATAATTCTCAATCACTAAATAATAATATAATAACAAGCACTACACTGGGATCACCGCAAGTATTTTTAAAACTTGTTAATGCTCCTCTCTCTCCACCTAGGATGTTCTCATTTTCCTCATTTGGACTTTCCTAAACCTCAAAAACGGTGACTCTAGGACGTGGGGTGAGGGCTCTCTCTGGATTTCCCCATGTGTCACCTCCATCCTACTGCGCACTCAGTAATTGGAGAATTCTGTGAAAATGGCAGTGGCTACGGGTCTTCTTAAACTTCCCCAGCCTGTTATTTGTCAGGTTCTTCTGTTCATTCCTCCTCTGCCTGCCACATCTCCTTAATCTAGTCTTGCGTCTCTGTACTCATGATAGAAACTCTTTGGATGTGCTGAATATGGGGAAACAGTCCACCAGAACTTAGACACCCGAGATTTCACACTGGAGAGGACCCATTTCCATCCACCTCCACAGGCTATGGTCACACTTCTCTTCGACAATTTTAACAGCAGTCTGACCCGTCTTCCTTTCCCTTTAGATTCCCCTCCTCACTTCCCTACAATTTATCCCACACTGTTTGCCAGAATGAGCAAAACCCCACTCAGGAACCTTTACGGGCTTCCCACTGCCAACTAAATTAACTGCCAACACCTGACTCCCCATTCTTGAATCTTGTATTTTGAATGGTAGTTATTGACTTGTCTGTGCTCCCCCACTAGATACTAAACTACTCCACACCGAAATTCAACTGTTTATCATTCAACAAGTATTTATTGAGCACTTTTTTTGTTCCAGGAGCTGTTCTAGATGCTGGAGATACATCAAAGAACCAAGCAAACCAAAATCCCTGCCTCCAGGGACTTTACATCATACCTGGGGGG